TACTCCCCCTTCTCCTCCTCCTTTTACTCCTCCTCCTTCCCCTTCTCCTCCTCCTTCCCCTTCTCCTCCTCCTTCCCCTTCTCCTCCTCCCCCTTCTCTCTTATCTCCTAGCTGAAGCAGAACATCATGGATCAGCTCGACCTTCTATATCATTTTATAAGAAATAAAGTGTCGGATTTTGAAAATTCTGTTGTAACAAATTCAAATAATTTTTTTTAGCCATTCCAAGTGGTTAAATAAAGATACGGAGTCACTTTTTAGAACGGTTCCAGGATCCGGAATTACTTGTAAGGGCAGAAACAGGAGGATTAGAAATAACTTTTCAAAATGGATCCTGGATCCAGCATCTGATATCATATGGATGGATGGATCCTGGATCCTGCAGCATCTGAAATCACATTTTAGAATGGATCCTGGATCCAGCATCTGAAATTATATTTAGAATGGATCCTGGATCCAGCATCTGAAATCATATTTTAGAATGGATCCTGGATCCAGCCTCTGAAATCATATTTTAGAATGGATCCTGGATCCAGCATCTGAAATCATATTTTAGAATGGATCCTGGATCCAGCCTCTGAAATTTTATTTTAGAATGGATCCTGGATCCAGCATCTGAAATCATGATTATAAGACGGCTCCAGTATTCAGAATCCAGGAACCGGATGTATTAATTAAACTGGATCCAAGATCAGAATTCACTCATTAGAAAGGAATTTGAGATGAATGAATCTAGGATACCAATTTGCTTTTCAGGGCAGATACAAGATGGATCCTAGATCCGGGGTCCGTATGCATCGTTTGAGATCAATTCAGGATCCGGTTTTATCTATTAGAATGAATCTAAGATCTGGATTCATTAATCAGAAAGGAAACAGGATCCGGATTTAGCGTTTGACATGAATCCAGAATTCGGATTCACTCTTTTTTGGATGGATCAATGTGAAATGGATTTAATGGAACTGGCGTTTAAACTTAAACATTCTTCTATAAAAATTGATTCCTTTGGTTGCGTTGAATAAAACCCTTTGAATATAGATTAATAACGATACAGAACACTAGATGTCGTATTTTCAATAATTAGGGGTTTTCGTTCACAATAACCCTGAAGCAGAAGTCCAAAGTCCGTGTTGAATTACAAGACACAGAGAGAGCATGCGCGTAACTCCTTTGGCTTCTGCGTCAGAATTATTGTGAACGAAAAACCCTAAATCTTTAAAAGACGACATCTAGTGTTCTATCTGTATTGTTAATAATCTATGCCTTTGAATATTTGCATAGCATTCGGAACTCTCTTTTCCAGTCTTCCAGTAAGATAAGTTAAACACAGACTCCTGAAGTAAAAAGTAGAAATAGATAACATTTAAAAACTTTTATTAAAGGATCGTTGTTAAAGGGAGTTTTCGCGAAAAAAGAAAGGGGGTATAGGCTTAATGCGATAAAAAAGCGCTTTTGATCGCCACTAATCTTACTTCTATCTGTTGCGTCTATAAGGAGAAAATTGTTAAAGACGTCTCATACCGAATAACATGGCGTCCATACAAATTGAGAAAATTGCAACATACGACTTAGACCGTAAAAAATTCAATTTAATTTCAAACAAATCATTCAGATATTACAATCTAAAGTCATCGATTATCTTTCGCCACATTTATATATGGTTGATTTTTCATAATATGTTTTAATTGTTATGATCTGAGAGTTACTTATAAAAACGTTTATTCCTGTTTCGAGGATTTTTGGTAATGAAGACGACATTTTCATATTTTCCAGGAATGTTCGAAAACAAGTTTTAAGCTAAATATTATTTCAAAAAACAAAATCAAAACTAGTATGAAATATTAAATATATACAAATGTGGCGAAAGATAATCGATGACTATAGATTGTAATATCTGAATGATTTGTTTGATATTAATTTGATTTTTTACGGTCTAAGTCGTATGTTCCAACTTCCTCATTGTGTATGGGCGCTACGCTCTTCGGTATGAGACGTCTTTATCAATTTTCTCCTTATAGACGAAACAGATAGAAGTAAGATTATTAGCGATCAAAAGCGCTTTTTTATCGCATTAAGCCTATACCCCCTTTCATTTTTCGCGAACACTCCCTTTAACGAATGTTGTCCCTTTAAAGTTTAGCTTAAAGTGTACACAATACAAAACATATTTTAAGACTTATCTAAAGATAGGTTCACAATTCCTTTAAACAAAAATAATGATTTTCTAAAAATGCATTTTAATGTTTAATCATTTTTCCATACAATATTTTAATTTTCAATTTAAATAAATCTAATTTATTTCAACATTTTATGGGTTTACTTCATCTTTATCGAATTTGTTATTTGGTATTATTTAACCATGATTGATTTTCCCATGATTTTATAAATTTAAAAACTAATCAAGACTAGTTAAAATCATTGAATTAAAAAATCAAAGAAAAAATTTTTCTAAAGTTTTAAAAATTTGATGAATAACTGTTTCAAAGAATGAATGAATGAAAAAGTTACTAAACGACACTGTGATCAAGATGTTTTAAACTCTCACGCAAACAAAAATTATAGTTTTGCCAATTTATTCTTAAAAATAAAGACATGCGCTTGATAGTTCTTAAATGTAAGTGTTTTGGACTATTCTACGGCTATTTGATAAAGTATTCGTGAGTTATTAAAGCGACCCATGAAAGTTATATCTGATGTTCCTGTCTCGAAAAATTGATGTAAACTGTGTCAAATTTATACGAAAATTCATATATATACAATTTTGTAGAGAAATAGTAGGTTTATATAGATCATATTTAGCAAATATGCAACCAATCTGAAAACGAAGATATCTCAGAGAAACATAATTGTAACTTGAGTTAAAGGAGGCTTCGAGGTTTATCAAAGTTTGGTTTCCCTAGAGAGATTAGTTTTCTAAAGTTATGGTCCCTAGGGCGTCTATATTATCAGGTTGGTTTCCACAGAGATTTATTTTCTAAAGTTATGGTCCCAAGGGCGCCTATATTATCAGGTTGGTTTCCACAAAGATTTATTTTCTAAAGTTATGGTCCCCAGGGCGTCTATATTATCAGGTTGGTTTCCACAGAGATTTATTTTCTAAAGTTATGGTCCCAAGGGCGCCTATATTATCAGGTTGGTTTCCACAAAGATTTATTTTCTAAAGTTATGGTCCCCAGGGCGTCTATATTATCAGGTTGGTTTCCACAGAGATTTATTTTCTAAAGTTATGGTCCCAAGGGCGCCTATATTATCAGGTTGGTTTCCACAAAGATTTATTTTCTAAAGTTATGGTCCCCAGGGCGTCCGTATTTATCAGGTTGGTTTCCCTTGAGATTTATATTCTTAAGTTATGGTCCCCAGGGCGTCTACAGTTATCAGGTTGGTTTCCCTTGAGATTTATATTCTTAAGGTATGGTCCCCAGGGCGTCTATATTATCAGGTTGGTTTCCACGGAGATTTATTTTCTAAAAGTTCATGGTCCCCAGGGCATCTATAGATCTGAGGTTGGTTTCCCCACTTTCCACTACTAATCCATAGTCGATAATGCACAATGAGGTTTATTTTTAACCTAAAAGTAAGTACGGTTTGAAAATAAATCCTTGAAATATCTAATTGGGAACAATGTTTGATTTTTTTCTATTTGCTGGTAGAAGCAGAAAATGAGGGGTCTAGTGATCAGAATCAAACGACTATTACTTCTGGAAAATTAAATATCCGTTTGGGTACATGATTTATTTTTTTACAGCAATAATTACGGATTTTATGCATTTACTATATTAAAATGTGTTTCACTTTTCACAAGTTGTTTCTATTTACCGGAGAAAAGGTTGGGTTTGGTTCCGAGGTATGATTTGGTTTAAGAAGACATTTTACGGAGAAAGGTTGTAATATTATGTATGAGTCCGTATAACGTCACAAGAACTCCCACCAATGAGAGTGCAGTATACTGGTCAGGTGATACAGACAGAGACATGTAACCACTAAACTGCACTACCGTTGGTGGGAGTTCTATTTCTTAAGAGAATTTTGACACAGTTTTATATCAATTTCTCGAGACAGGAACAACAGATATAACTTTCATGGGTTGCGATCAAGAGATAAAATGAATCAGCTTTCAGCATATACCCCGTTCACTTTTCCTTTACAGTCCCTTTAAGGAAAATATCAAGGTCCACGCGCTTTACGCAACGTGCAAGTAGTCAAAGTCTTAAAAATAAATGCACCTTTTTATGACTGTCTGGAGGTCCATGATCAATTAATAAACGATGAATGATTAATTGATTGATTTATTAAGTGATCAGAAGAAGTGGTACAGCACTAGCATACCTGAATACTACCCCAGAGCAAAGTTTAAGAGCAAGGATAAGTGGAGTATCACTGGTCTCGAGGTACCCAGAGCAAAACTCAGCAATTTCCTCATCCTTCTTAAACCCTTTCTCTTCTATCAGCTTTAAACAAGACAAATTTAGAATTAGAAATACTGCGCTAATACGTCTCTGGAAATATGCCCTGAGATGGTAACTCTTATTGTTAAGTATTGTTAAACTTGACATCTGATATACATATATATATATATGGCTAGTGGTAATCGATTAGATCAATACAATGAAGACGACTTTTGCATTTAAGTTTTTGCTGTTAACAAAGCTTTTTTCTAATTACAAGTTTACAAGTAACCAAAAAAAGCTTCTTAAATTGAAAGTTTCTATTGACTTCTTTGTTTCTTTTTGTGTGCATGCTGTTTAACAGCTTGCCATAAATCAAAATTGAAATCAAAGGTCGTCTTCATTGTTTTGATATAATCGCCTACCACTGTATATGGGCACTTTTGAATAAAAGGGCAAATTTTCTTAATCCTTGTCGACATTCTTAATGGTTATTTATTATTGTACTTGATCCTCTTTATATTATCAGGATTAGTGAGAAATACTTGCAGATTTGTTATATAAATTATATTATATATTACCAGCTAAAGTGCTGGCTTTGTCCGTGGAATTATAAAAAATCGATGTTTGAAAAAGAAATTTAGCCAATTCGGTCCAGCCGTTTGGCAAGCTATGGCTAACATATAAATACATATTATATATAAAAATATATATATATATATATATTTAATGTCTTATCCTCAATTTCAATATAATATTTAAATAACTAAACCTAAAAAAGCTAATTTTAAAGTGCAGAAATTTATATTTTTCAGATTTTGTTTAACTGAGATATATCCTGTGAATTATTCAAGATTGTCCCAGTTATCCTTAAACTAGCATTATCTGCAGTACGAGGGATGGAAAGTAATGCGGCCATTGCAGATAATATTCAGAACCGCAAAAACAGACCCAACAATTTAAGTCAGTAGAAAATGTTTTAAAATGATGTAAAGTTTGAAGAATAGTTTTTCAGACTATATCGTCGGCAAACGCTTATGAAGTTTTTCGCAATTTTAAAACTGTACAAGCAAGATTATTAAGCTTTTCAATTGACAAAAAAAAGAATTTAAAAATAAGAAATAAAAAGGAAGACTAGCGGAAAATCAGAATTGGTTTAAACATTTATTAAAGGTGAACATTTCAAGAATAGCACAGGATTACTGATTCCAATACCTGGATGCAACCACAGGTTATCCCAATAAACATGAGAATTGAGTAACGAACACGAGATAGTTTTTGTCGTTAAGTAGTCAATATATATATCTAAATATAGGCTCAGTATCATCTACCCATATAACATTTCGCCATATGACATTTCGCCATATAAGTTGTAACCTCTGTTTGTATGTCTGGGTGTATGTTTTTTGTTTGTTTGTTTGTCCGATCATATCATCAGGAAGCTCCCGACCAATTTGCCTCAATTTTTTATTGGGGAACTCGGGAGACAAACTGAAATCTTCTTGGTTTTGAGATTCTAAAAGGAGAGAGTCGACTTTAATAGCAAAAATTTAGTTTCCTGGTAAAATCGTTTACATTCGGTTAAACGACATGAGTAACTTTTAGTAACCTGGGCAGCGCTGGGTTTCCAAGCTAGTATAAGCATAGACTAGATATTTCATGTATGGCCATTCTTATGGAAAATCCTCAACAATTTATTTGAAAAGACGATTAAAATGCAAATAAATAACACAATATACTGTTCCTAGTTGTTGCAATCGGAACAAAGTCTGTTGGGTTTTTCCAAGTAGAGCAGTTGGGTTTGATTTGTTTTACAGCCTCAGCTTAAAATTATAAATTGCAGGGTTGATCGGTGTTTCTCCCTCCTCCCCTCGTAGTACTGAATACTGGTATTCTGTTAGCAAGGAAAAGAAAGTATTTGCTGAGAATATTCTAGGTAAAGTAGGTACAGACTTATACACAGAGAACCCAGTTTTAAAATACTAATAATAATACATCTATTAATAATAGGTCTAAACCAAGTCTATCTATTCGTCTATACATCTGGGTCTATAAAAAGTCTTAATCTGAACCTTCCAGAGGGTTTAAGATAACTGACAAACTTTGCCAAATGCACCTCTAGGTCGCAAATAAAAAAGTAGGCAAATCGATCAACACTAATATAAAGTCTTTAAGACCATATCTGGGTCTATATTAAGTCTGTAAGACCAGGTCTGGGTCTATATTAAGTCTGTAAGACTAGTTCTGGGTTTATATAAAATCTGTAAGACTAGATCTGGGTCTATATAAAGTCTGTAAGACTAGTTCTGTGTCTATGAATACACACTAGGTAATATACTTTGTTGACACTTTACTTCTGATTTTATCAAAAACTGTTCTTTTGGGTCGGTTCCTAATTTTTGTAAGAATGTACGTTTTACAAATATTTCACCTTGAGATATATATCTCCTCTCCCTGGATTCCTTTTTATTATTTCTTCAAGGATTTTCTCAACTTCCGGTCTAGGCTGGTGAACTTCCGGTCTAGATTCTCCAGGTTTGGATTCGGCCAAGATTTTATATTTTATCTCCAGAATGTATCCCTATAAATATAGTCAAGGATCAGTACAGATATTACAGCAGATAAGATATTTACAGTCTCCAGATTTAATTTCATCTTGTTTATACATTTTTAAACTATGCAGAGAAAATGGACTTGAAGAATATTATTGGCCTTTCTTAAAAAAAGAATTTTGAACTTGAACGTCATTTTTTTTCTTTCAATTTCTAAAACAAAATCAATCCAATGCTTTTTAACCGGCAGTTTTACAGGTTTAGGATTAAGTATTCGCTGAGCCCACTTAGCTTGGTCCGAAAGTTAAAAATTGTGTTGGTCGACTTTTATACGGATTCTAGTTTCCAGACGAAGAAAGCTGGGTTCCCTAGCAATACAAAAAAAAATTCCTATAGATTCCTATAAAACCATAGAGAATAGAATATATAGAGAGGAATTAAAAGAATCTCTCGGTATGAATTTTTTCAGTCCCTTTCAGCCTGAAAGGGAGTTCAAAGTGTACAAATCATGTAAATGTTCACAAATTATATGCAGTAGAGTACATTAATACAGTATGTTCCCTAGACTATCCATTTCAATTTCGAATTTTTTAATCTGTTAAATAAACTTTATAATGAATTAGGTGAATAAAAACATCATTTGATTTATAGTTATAACGGAAAATCATCGTTTGTAAAGTG